GCGCCTGGCTTGACGGAGAAACCAGGAGAACAGCTGAGCATATTTACGACAGTGCACTTTTACTTTCGCCCTCTGGGGGGAGCCTCGCTGGAAAATCAACACCGGTTGCAAAGTATACCTTTAAAACAATATAACAATTTTAAAGCAAACAGCATCAAAAAATAAGTTTATCACAGCAGGTTTATTTCTTGGGAGCTGAAATGTTCAAAAACTAAAGGTCTGGTTATCCTCCCTCAGCAGTGTGTCGCAATGAGCCTGTCGCAGATATTTTTGATTTCTGCCCAATATTGAAGCGTGGTCTGCGCTATGTTATTCCACGCCGCAATGCAAGAGGGGAAAATCAGGAACTAGCTGTGGGTCTAGATACGGCCGAGGCGGTGAGGAAGTGGGGGCATGTTTGTCCGACAATGGAGGGACATGAGGGCCAAAAAGAGCGGGGATCCAGGTGGAAAAAGGTGTTAATATATTTGGGCAAAAATGGCCGCTCCCAGACTCAGTGATCGTGATGAAAATAATTTTTATTTTTTTTTACTGATTAATGCTAAATTCATTTAATCACCGTAAACTTATTAGTTTTAGGTATAAATAATGAATCCTTGATTATTCCTTGCTGGCCGGACTTTTCCTTTAAAAAAAAAATAACATTCACGGTAAAATTAGCACATTTTTTAATCAGCAGGTTAACAGATTGTGATTGAATTGTTGACTGTAAGCAGCTTTTTATTCAGCATCTCTGCCTGAAACACTGATTAAACTGATTCCGGCTATTAAGAAATAATAATATTTTATTCCCATTTCTTAAGGTTTGAGGCTGACTAATTAAATAACCATGTTTGGTTGAATAAGATCAATACTTTATCATTTCAAGTAACAATAAAAAAATTAGAATAACTCTCATCTCAGTGAAGAATTTTATCCACGTTTATTTTGAGGAGAAAATAAAACTGATTTCTGATTCTCCCATTGTGGGACAATAAAGGAGTTTCTATTCTATTCTAATTTAGACAGAATATTATCTGTTCCTCTTTTTAATGTTGGAAATCTTTTAATTTGACCTGAAACCTTTGGGCTGAATATCAACCAAGCCTTTTATTCTACTAAGAAGTTTATCTGTAAACTAATCTAATTATTTTATATTCTATGCAAAATGTTAAACTACTTTTTATTCTGAACTACATACACGATCCTAATTAATGGATAAAAAATTGATCTATAATCTGGAATAATGATGAATAACAATGGATTAGTGAGACTAGATGAAAGTGTGGAATATGGGATAAACTCCAACAGAAAACAGATTAAAGCTCAGAGCTACAGCAAGCTAACAGCGGCTAAAAGCAGTTCAATTAATCCCGAACATGTCGGATATAAAGCAGATAAAGTGAAATGAGAGCTGAGATCAGCTTTATTTAAAATGAAATATGTCTGTTTGAGATGCAGCAGCATAAAGTGTCCTTAAATCCCCGCAGGCTCAGAAAGCTAACAGCTGCTGATAAAAACTAGCTGCTCTCACCTGCGGACTGATTTCTACCAACATCCTGCGAATCACGACCTCCGAGCTGTTTCATCCGCACGTTGTCCTCTAAAGGCAGACTTTCCCTGCTGTTTTTATTAACATAATCCACTTCCTTCATGCTGTCTTGATTTTTTCCTTACAAAAAGCTCGGAGATTTAGGCCTCCCCCCAAAAAAAAAAAAAAGGAAAAAAACAGCACTGGCTCAATCTAGATAAAAATAGCGGCTCACATTTTGGTCAGAATGAATCTCGCGAAGTCATTCTGTAGAAAAACGACTCCAGCACCTGCAGACGGGATCTCATTTAATGTTTTCATGTCTAAATTATGACTTAGATGCTTTATGTTTTTGATCAGGCATCCGTCTAGACACCTCTTTTCTCCTATCGCCATAGTAATGAACTCTTCGTTCAAAGCACTGGGTTCTTTGATTGGTAGAAAGCAGCGCTTCCGCCATATTATGAGTGGCAGACTTCGCGTCAGTATAGCTCGCACCATAGGCGGGCAGAGTGTGGTAACCAGGCCAGCAGTGATCGGAGATTTTGTTTTCCAAATTAAATACATCACTAAAATGAACTGTCTTTTCATTTTAAAACAGTGATATTCATGTTTTTTTTTCTTTTACCTGTAACTGTAACTAATAAGTAAGAAACTATCTTTATGTAGAAATGTCTTGATAAGTTTAATTTGCTTGTGAAAGAGAAATGTGAAGCTGCATTAGCATTAAACTAGACGGGCTACATATAAACTCTGCTTTATTCTACTCCTTTTATGGTTAAAAATATATTACATATATCTGTGCATATATGTGTATGTATAGGAGAATGTTGACGTTGTTTTTTTTTGTTTTTTTTTAAGTTAAAAAATAAATCACATTAATTAAATTAATTCTGATACTATGGATTAGCTCTGCTTTCTAGAAAAGAGGAGTCATTTATAACATTAAGTAGAATCAAATGGGTCTTTTAAGGGGTGGCTCCTTATGTGATAAACTGTTGGGAGATATTCATAGTCAACATAACAATCCCCATGACAGGTAAACCTTACTAGTAAAGTTTGGGAGCTTTTCAGGCTTACAGAAATACACCAAGTCAAATTGCTTGTAAATGCAAACCTACCTGGCAATGAATTGATTCTGATTCTGAGGAATCTCTTAATTTTTTTTTTATTAAATATTGGTTCCTCATTCCTCAAAGTTCTCTGCTGGCATGATGATCAATGTTGTTGGTTGTAAATCAAGTCTGATGTTAAAATTAATTAGCAGTTGAGGAGCCATTTTACATAATACTTTATTTAATAAAATAGGTTTTTGGATTAATACCTATTTTGGTTAATTTAAAATGCAGTGAAGTAGAGCTAGTCTTGTTTAAGTACAAGTTTAGTTTTTTCTTCCTTTGCAAGAATATGGACGTTGTCATCAAAGAGCGTCCTTTAGCCTGCAGGTGTAGGTGAACGGCTGAGTCCTTCCCTGAGGAGTCGGCCCTCCTGTGTCTCTCCAATGCAAAGGTCTGTTATAGAGGGTCTAAATAGGGCACCATTTAAATATTGCACTAAGGTCTGAACAGTCCACTCGCCCTACCCGCTACGTAGTTTGGGACGGCCCTTAATGTGGTGG